CCATAGAAAGCTTCATGACATTGGATTTGGTAATGATTTCTTGGCCATGACACCATGAGCAACATAAGATAAATTGGACCTCATCAAAGTAAAAACTTTTGTGCATCAAAGGACACGGTTAGCAGAGGGAATAGGCACCAAGATTGGGAGAAAATATGTGTAAATCGTATGTCTGATAAGGGATTAATATCCAGAATATAAAAAGAACTCTGCAACAACAACTTTTTTTTTTTTAAGATTTTATTTATTTATTTGAGAGAGAGAGAGAATGAGAGATAGAGAGCACGAGAGGGAAGAGGGTCAGAGGGAGAAGCAGACTCCCCACTGAGCAGGGAGCCCGATGCAGGACTCGATCCCGGGACTCCAGGATCATGACCTGAGCCGAAGGCAGTCACTTAACCAACTGAGCCACCCAGGCGCCCCAACAACAACTTCTTTTTAAAAAGATTTTATTTATTGGGGCGCCTGGGTGGCTCAGTCATTGGGCATCTGCCTTTGGCTCAGGTCATGATCCCGGGGTCCTGGGATCAAGCCCCACATCAGGTTCCCTGCTCGGCAGGAAGCCTGCTTCTCCCTCTCTCACTCCCCCTGCTTGTGTTCCCTCTCTTGCTGTCTCTCTCTCTCTGTCAAATCTTAAAGATTTTATTTATTTATTTGACAGAGAGAGACACAACAACAACTTTTAAACGGAAAGGATGTGAACCGACATTTCTCTAAAGATACACAGGTGGACAATAAGCACACAAGAGACGTTCAGTCAATCATTAGAAATGCAAACCCACAGTGAGATACCACTTCTTACCCAACAGATTGGCCATTATCAAAGCAAAACAAAACAGAACAAAATAACTGGAAGGGGATGTGGAGAAGTTGGAACCTGTGTCCATTGCGGGTAGGCATGTAAAATAGTGCAGTCACTGTGAAGATAGCATGCAGATTCCTTGAAAAGTTAGCAGAAAATCACCATGTGATCTGGCACTTCCACTTCTGGGTATATCCTCAAAAGAATTGAAAGCAGAGACTCAAATAGATATTTGTGCATCGGTGTTCATAGCAGCATTATTCACAATGGCCAAAAAGATGAAAACAACACAAATGTCCATCAGTGGATGAATGGATAACCTGAATGTGGTCTAGACACAATGGAAGGAAGGAAATTCTGACACATGCTACAACACAGGTGAATCTTGAAGACACTATGCTGAATGAATTAGACACTAAGAGACAAATATTGCATGGTTTCCCTTATATTAGGTACTGGGAGTAGTCACATTCATAAAGACAGAAAATTGAATCATGGTCATCAGAGGCTGGGGGGAAAGAGGAATGGGGAATTATTGCTTAATGAGTAGAGTTTCAGTTTAGGAAGATGAAAAAGTTCTGGAGATGGGTGGTGGTGATGACTGATATGGTTAAAATGGTAAACCGTATGCATATTTTATCACCATAAAAAATAAAAGACCTATATGTAAGAGCTAAGATTATAAAACGATTAGAAAAAACATACGAGTAAATCCTCATGACCCCAGATTTGATGATGGATCCCTAGTTATGACGCCAAAAGCACAAGCAACAAAAGAAAAAGTAGATAATTGGACTTCACCAAGACTGAAAATTTTGTACTTCAAGGGACATTGTCAAGAAAATGAAAAGACAACCCACAGAATGGAAGAAAATATTTGGCAAATCATCTATCTGGTGGGGACTTGAATGTAAAATGTATAAAGAACTCTTACAGCTTAATAATAAAAAGACAAATAGAGGCACCTGGTTGGCCCAGTCGGTTAAGTGGCTGCCTTCGGCTCAGGTTCATGATCCCAGGGTCTTGGGATTGAGCCCTACATCAGGCTCCTTGCTCGGCAGGAAGCCTGCTTCTCCCTCTCCCACTCCCCCTGCTTGTGTTCCCTCTCTCACTGTCTCTCTGTCAAAAAATAAATAAA